TTAATATAATATATAATAAATTATATAAAATTAAAATTAAATAACAATAAATCAAATTTAGAGTTAGAAACTTGAAATTAGCTAATTAAAATCTAAATATCCAACAACACAAATAAATTAAACGAACACTACAAAAAAATCCATATTTAATGACTAAATTATTGATCATTAAATCTTTATTTTTCGTCACAAATTATTATTAGTGATAAAATTTAAATCGTTAATAAAACCCTTGTCACTAATGCTCTTAGTGACAAATTAAGCACCTGTCATAAAAAATAATTTTATAGTAATAGAAAAAATTGACATTGTTAATAAGTTATTTATAAAAATTTTATTTGTCATAAAAAAATATTCGTCACAAATGCAATTATGATGTAAAATTTAGTTATTAACTATTAAAATTGATATTAAATAAAAAAGATATTAATATAATTACAACACAAAAATTTTAACAAAAATTTTGTCACAAAAAACTAATATATAAATTTATCACAAAAGTTTAATAAAAAATATTTTTATTTCAATACTAATCAATTTTGATTAAAATTAATCAAGCCCAATTAAAATTAATTAAGCCCAAACTAATCTCAAGTTTTATTGAGTTTCACATGTTTTATAGTGCAAAATTTATTTTCTTAAATATTTCTTATTGATGTGGGATATTTTTATAGTGCAAAATCTTATTCTCTTATGTGTTTTTTATCGATGTGAGATGCATTGATTAGAAAAAATTGATAATTTTTAGTGACGAAATATATTTTTTAGTGATAAATTATTTGGTCATCATTGAATGTGTAAGGTATATGTACCAGTATTAGAATTTTGTCGTAATTGTAATGCATTATAGTGATGATTTTTATTGACAAAAACTTATTTTATTTCTATGAACATTTTTCGGTGACGAAATATATTTTTTATGATAAATTTTTTTGTTTATTATTAAATATGTATGCATCTGTAACTAATTTTTTAGATCTGTCACAATTGTAATAAGTTATAGTGATGATTTTAAAATTCATCACAAATTTCTGTCACTAAATATCATTTTTCTTGTAGTGGAAAAAGATGACTTAAATTTAGAATTTTAGATGGTTAAATCAAATTTGTCCCGAATTCTCGATTAAAATGTTGATTTGTGGTTGGGTTGTGTGGGTTGTGTGGGTCGTGAGTTTTTAAAATGAAAAATAAGCTTAATTTATGGATTATCTAGTCAAAACTCACTAATCCAAGATGAAAAACCCAAAAGGAAATAAGCAAAAAGTCCAACTGCCAAACAGAAAGTAAAATCGAGATTTTACCTGATTTCACAGTAAAATCGAGATTTTACCTGATTTTAGATTTTTGTATAGATTTTACACGAAATACCTTACTGAAATCGTAAAATCGTAATATTTTAAGATTTAAATTTAGATTTTGACAATACTGTCTACAAGCACTAACATGAGAATCTTATTCTGATATTTGTGTACAAAATTAGCTTTCTTTTGACCATAGGTGGTCCATTTCCTTCTAGACCAGAAAAATGCAGGTTATTAACCGAACCAAACATGTTTATGTTAGAAACTGGATCAACCAAGAATATTACAGTACCGAATTCTTATCATACTTAAACAAAGGTTCTGATCATACAGATTATAATGTTTAGCCAGGAATCCACCGAAAGGTCTCTAGGAAATTCATTGTGTACCTTTGTTAGTATTTCATATAAATAATACCCCACCAAACCAACCTGTATAAACAAGTAGTTTTACAGCAAATCTATGATCTTCTCCATGGAATAGGGAGATGCTGGTGAAGCCTGACACTCATGCATATCACATTCACTAAGCAAAGCAAAGCAAATGTCAAAGGAAAAACAGAATGTCATCGGAATGTCTAAGGACAAACTATATAAAACGCTTGTTTTAAAGCAAACACTATCCCTTCAATCTCCTCCCCAGCTCTCCCCACCCACTTTCCCTTGCTTTGGTGGGTTTTGGCTACCACTGACAATAGTGGGTGTCGCAATCCCAACTTCCCAACCATATATTCTTCCTTTGCTTTGCCCAAGAAATGGCATGGTCACTCAAAAAAAAGGAGTACACATCTCAATTCCATGAAAATTACAGGTTGATATGCTTCTTGGTCGGCAAGATTCGACTCCTAGTTTGCTAGGGAAAAAAATGTTCTCTATGGAAAAAACATATCATCGAAAAAGTTTTTTTAATAGTTACATCGAGATCTTGTCTTTAAAAAAAAAAAAGAAGTAAAAAGAATAAAAAAAAATTATTATGAACTCTCTATTAATTTGAATGAAATTGAA